ATTAATACATAAATTTAGCCCTTTTTTATATAAGAACATGTTCCGTACTAGATACAAGTTTGGTTAAACAAGCTCTAGTTATCTTTTTCTTGTACTCTTGTTTAATTGTCCATAAAACTATTATATATAAGGTCATGTCATCACATGAAACAAATCTGTATCATGAGTGCCTTGAATACAAATAAACTTTGACATTATTACATAATAGGCCCAAAGAAGCGATTAAAATGAAAACATTCAATTAACATTATTTTTGTATCCTTATAGCTTAAACTTTATTTAGGAAAAAAATGTAAGATGGTGAATTGATAACTGAATTATAAAATGAAATTCGCATAATGAGCATTATGTACAAATAAAAGCATGTTCGATAAAATACTTTAAAAACCATCCTCGCCCAATGTTATTATTCCCCAATGAATTTCTAATACTAATGTTATTTGAATAATTTATACATCTTACAAAACACGATTACATAATATAAAGCTTCACAAAATGCAAAGTCATTAGCTCATTTACATAAATGCCAGGTATATGTGCTGACTAATAAAACTGCTTTTGTTTCCTTTAAATAGACACATTTTTGGTTATTCAAGGGCTATAACTCCAGGATGCAGGTATTTATTTTGCCAGTAAACAGACATGTTTTGCCAGTTTATAATTATACCGGTGACAATCAATAAATAATCAAAGCACAGAAGGCGCTGAATTTGTTTGGGTCTCAGAATGTCAGAAAGGTGAAGGTTGTGAGATTATAAACCAATTTGTTTTTGTATAGTGCCATCAATGCTTTCCAGCGTTTTAATTGTAGTAAATTGGCTATAAGACTAATTGAAACACTGATATTCAATTCAATGTTTATTTGACTTAAACAATTTGAAAAAAAAAATGAGTTGCCTTAACCGGGATTTGAACTCCAGACTTCTCGCTTCCTAGGCGAGCGCGCAAACCCCTCGGCCATGGTGAAGTTATATATTAACGGCCTGAAGAAAACGATATGGTTCTAAATTAGGGTTTGTAACGGCGCTAACTGTTGTTTTAACTTGTTAAACACAAATGTAAATAATCATGGAGCTTACTATAAGCATGTATATCTATAAAGAATAAAACAATATTAGAAATCTTCGACCCTTTAGGAACTACTTTGCTTGAAAATTAACGCGCCTGTCATTTGACCATCTTTACGCATTGATCTCCCCTGAATTTTTCGGCGATAAGTGTACATTTAAAGGGCAGTAACACCTTCAAAAAAGCAGTCTACTTTCGGCAATTGCAATTAACAGCATCAGAGTCTGAAATTTCGCTACCATTATTTGTTTGGTCTGACGACCCAAACAAATAATAAAAACCATTAGATTTCTCTATGTCATCAGCACCATGCTAATTTTGTTTTCAATTTGAAGTTCAAGCGATCTCATGACAGGCGGCATGTTAACGTTACCATGCTGCCTGTGCAGAACAAGATCAGCCGGCACCATAGGTCATCGTCTGCACTATTTCCTATATTCTGTCACTTACATACTTTTCAAATTTTTTCCCTAAAAAATGATGAATGGTATTGTCCACACATTGTATAGTAGACAAGTCCATTTAAGATATTTAGGGTTGTATAAGATAATGATTACAATATCATTAATCTTCCTGATGAGTTTGAACATCAAACAAGCTGTTTACATATGATATTTTTTTTAAAAATTGATACAAATCATTCTATTTGCATCATAAAAATTATCTCCAATCTCTTTTTACATAAGCCTATTATCAAATAACTCTAAAATTTTCCACATATTTCTTTTCCATAAAATTAATACTTATCATATGTTGTCAGATTTATCTATTGGGTCAAATACCTTAAGTGCAAACCAACAATTTTTATGGATGGGCTTTGAAGTGTTAAGTGAATTAAATTTTTATCTAGTAAATGCAGTCTTTACCACAAAAATGACATGCTTTGTGGCCTGTTGCTACCAGAAATGTGGTTTGAAATTAGCAGCTGCAGTCAATAACAAGATTTTTCAGTAAGAGCTAGGATAATGACTTCCATCACTCAGATTACATGTCAGAGTTATGGGCCTTGGATAATAAATGACCTCCAATTATTATGATCCTGTAAACATAATTATATTAAGTTTGCAGTGAATACTAACAGTAGTTTTAAGACCAATGTGGCAAGCAAAACTTTAACCTGGAATTTTTTCACTCAGGGTCATAATTCAACCAAAAACTTTGTGAGAGTTATCAGCCTTGGAGAAGAACGTCCAATAATTATGTGAAGCTACAAGCAAAATTTAGTATCTTTAGAGGATAAAGAAGAAGTTACAACTGAACAAGACTAAAACATTTTAGCTTGAAGAAATATTAGACAGCCCAACTATTCTTCCAAAAGTTGAACTAAAAATGAAAACAATTATTGACAGATAAGTTTTCCTATGCAAAAAGAGGGTCAAATAGCCAATAAATAATTAACACATTTTTAAGTGCATGACCTTTTCTCTGACAGTATGAAAGGCCATACTGGACTAAAATTTACAATTTTTATTGATTCTATATAGTAAAACTCATAATGCTGTAAATTTCAGTCTCTATCCTGCATAAATCTATATATAATGATCAACTTTTTACCAAAATTCCACCCTGTTTCTAAATGGAGTGAGAGAAATTTCTGAATATTTAGATGAGTAATTTCAAAGTAATTTTCTGTACACAGTTTGTGTGTCTTTAAAGGCGGCCATTTTAATTAACTAATTTGTACACTGGAAAACATTTTCTCTTATTAGAATATTTTTTGCATTTTCATGAAAATTAACACAAAACTAAAGGTGTGACATATTTCTTCATGATGATTATATGAAGTTGAGAAGAAATTGATTCCTGAAGAATTTGATTCGCAAATATTATTCTAACGCGAATAAAACCACTTCAGCAGTTTCCTCATACTTAAATATTAACAAGAAATAATAATTCTTCAAAGTAATGCTAACATTCAAATTAAATCCTTTGTATACATCAACTATCTTTACTTCCCAAAATACTTTTACTGGTCTTTGTTTAAAACAGGAAATGGTTATATCAATAATTTCCCCCCTAGCCTCAACAAGATTATCCCTATCTGTAGTCAAAGTAAAACTTGAACAATCCTTTTACTTAAAAGTGATTCACACAATGCACTGATTAGTATAACCCTGTAGTGGGCGCAGTCAGCACTCAAATGGAATAAACGGCTCTAGAAAATAAACCCAGCCCTAATTAGTATTAAACATTGGCTTAGAAAAACAGCTTGCAGGCATTACCTAGTTAGCCGTTTCCTCTTTAATAAAGGGCTTGACATATTAAACAATCCTTAACTCAAGTGAAACAAACTTAATGCAACCAAATCATGACAAATCTTAACTTTTAATTGAGGGAAAGGCATTTCTTGTCATTTCAAAATAAATCCTTTACTCTCGGACAATTAAAACACTTATTCTATTAAAATTATAAAAAAAAAAACTGTGGTTTTGAAAGTAATAACAAGTCATGTTTCTTATTGATAAACACTGAAAAAATAACTTCCCCGACGAAAGGCTTGGCAACATAGCAGGATGCTTCCAAGTTAACAATACAGGATACAAGTATAAACAAAACCGATCATAAAATTCATGTGTGTTAGTTTAAATAAAATTTCAAAAATTTCTATTGCATCATTTTGTTTATACAGAATTTTAGTTTGATTGTGTTTATAGACACAATCTCAAATCCGTTCTTGAAACCAAGCAGTACTCAGCAATGAGTGTAAAAACTCTTGCACAAGGAGACAACCGCTCATCTCTCCAGAGTTTGAACCCACACAGACAGCAATACTTAGATTTATGGTCCAATAAGAAAACCACTCAGCCATTGCATCATTTATGACTACAGTACACAAGTATAAACTTCTGGGTTTTTTTTTTAAAGCCTACTGAATTATGATTGAAACAATTTGGCCAGCTGATGAAAAGAAAATAATTGAGCCGTGTCATGACAAAACCAACATAAACATAATGTGTTTGCGACCAGCATGGATCCAGACCAGCCTGCGCATCCGCGCAGACTGATCAGGATACATGCTGTTCCCTTACAAACCCTATAACAAGTAGAGAAACTGACAGCGAACAGCATGGATCCTGATCAGACTGTGCGGATGCGCAGGCTGGTCTGGATGCATGCTGGTCGCAAACCCATTATGTTGGTTTTGTCATGACACGGCTCAATTGATATTAATTTTATGTCCATGAAAATTACCTCTCCTAATTTTCTAGCCAAATTAAACAGCACCCACTCAATTTATTCATTTTCAGACTTAAATGCTTTTTTTTTCCAGACTCTTTTAGTAACAATTTCTATGGTTCAAGAGAAATTTTCCTCTCTGAAATATGATCAAATAGGCTTCAAAATTGATTTTACTTGATCTTGTATGAAACTAATTACTCATTTATTACAGTAATCAAATAGTTTATATCTGCTAGAACTCCAGGATATAATGGAAAATATCCTTTAACAGTGTTTGAAAATAGATTTTAATTCCGCAGTATGTTGACAATTTCTGTTCAGCAGGATTGACAATTGTATGAAGTACAGACTGCAGAAACAACATAAAAATGAGCAAACATTCTCAAAGCTGGTCGAAACAACCTTTCTAAAGAAGCACAATCAATTAGGTGTCTGGCATTTCCAGTAAATTCAAAATTTTCTAATTTTATGACAGAGATGATCCATTTTCCCAGTCTCTCGCCATTTTTTTAAACACAAGAGGAAAAGAACATAAACATTTTAACTAAAGCATAAACAATGGAAGGACATTTTAGGACACATAAAAATAAATGTCAAAATACAGCCAGTCACAATCAACCAAGGACAACATATTCTCCTTTCATTTACAAAGTGTTAAATTTTGTGCAATATTAAAACTGGACAGATATTTCAAACATATATCCCCATCCCACAAATAAAGAAAGAAGTTAGTTTGTTTTGCTTTTACTTACATTTAGCTAGCTCTTTTGGAGGAACCATGGCAGTCTTTGGTAGAGATTCATCTGGTTGTAGATAGAATGGCATTGGTATACTATACATTGGAGAATAACATCCTGACCAGTACATGTACTGTTGAAAATATGGCACACTGTAATATGGCATAAAGTCATGATGATGGGTCCCTGTGATATTGGAGGATGTGTATCGAGCATAGCTGCCGGAATACATGGATTCATCCTCAGCAAGACTATGGTGATAGTAAACACTAAATGAGACATCAGTGTCAGTCAAATCAACATATACACTGTCTAGATAAATGTCATTGTGTCCCTGTGTAAATACTGTCTTTTTCTGCTTACCAGCTATATCTATATCTAATAATTGTTTATGAGAATTAAAGTCCCTACGACTTGACCAATTAAACGAACTACGTTTAGACACTGGTGAGTTGCTTTCTTGTGGTCCATTGTCCGTATCCACGGACGTTTCTGAAGGACAATCTGATTTGACATCATCAATGTCACTTTCAGTGTTTGATATGTTATTGATTTTAACTGTTGCAGACAATTTCTGAGAAGGCACATTTTGGTTACGATGAGCAAACTTCTTGGATTTATTGTGACGATTCTTGCTGTTTGAGTGGTGTGGTTGTGATGTGCATCTAGCCGAGTGTGAGCCTTGAGCATGTTGGTTTTTCTGTCCTTGGGATATGTTAATATGCTCTTTGTACCACTTGCATTGTGGACAATTAGAAGGAGCGCAATCATAGCGAACCAAAGGACAACCAGTTGTATACTCTGCTAACTGTAAGAGTTCTTCTTGAGTAAACTCTTGACTCGGGGGACTGTCTTGTGGATTTGAAACGTCCGAATCAGACTGGATTTCTGAGCTTGATGTAGTCGAGGATATTTCGCTTTCTTCTGTGTCCTCAATGGGTGACTCGTTGCTGTTTAAATCGTTACAAATAACGTCAACATTTTCACATTCCACAATGCTTTTCTTGTGGCATGTTTTAATGAGCATTTGAGAATCGGTGACATTGTTTAAAACATACTCTGCCACCAATTTTTCATTAAATGGGTTATCTTCATTCAGATTGCTTTGAACATTAAAAGCTGTATCTCTTTTGTTTGATTTTTCTATAAAGGCACTAAAATTCTTCACATTTTTCCTTTGTCTATTTTTCTGTGATAAAGTGTCACCTCGATCAGAGCTATTGTCTGTTTCAATATCCCCTTCATCACGGGTCTCACTAGACTCTTGCTTTTGAAGCAAATTCCTCTTACTCTTTTGTTTCTGCTGTATGGCTGCTTTTAACGTATCTTTGAGCTGTATAACAATCGGAGTATTTGCACGATTTTGCTTACGTTTCCCTTTCTTGTTTTGCTTGAAATCTCGATTACGATTTCGCTCTCGTTGACATTTCTTACAAGTGGGAAGTGTGTCAATTTGAACAGGTGACAGAGATAGAGCAGGCACCTCTTCCCGAATAATCTCTACAGCCGCGCTCACAGAAACTCGTTTAACTGGCAACATTGTCTGCATTATTAATTCAGTGCTAGTATAAAAATCTAATTAAACTTAAATTCACACAACTTTTTTATTCATGAAATGTCTCTTATGTAATTATTCAATAAAGTCAATTTCAATTTATGAACCATTCTGTTCCATAAAACACATTAACATTAAGTACAGGTTGATCATGTAGATTTTTAAGCTGATAGTTCAATTCAGGTCCTACTTTAATTTTTTTCAATAGTTCTAAAAAATGATTAATTCAAACCATTTGAAATTTATCTTCAATTTTTAGATAATCATGGCACTTCAATTCAATGATATCTCCTGTTCAAAAGTTAAGCCATTTGAACTATTATTTATTTATGTAAACATCTATGTTAATTTGTTACCTGTTTTGCGTATTATTAATTTCCAATTTATATTTTGAATATGTCACTGTTTGACTAATATCCACATGCCGTAACCAACAATCACAGCCAAAAATATCCTGTATAATTTACTCCTTAGCTATGTCACTAAGAAAAACGTGGCCTTTAAAACAAAAATCCCCTGATCGGTCACATTTTGTTTACAGAATGTTTTACAAATTTTATACATACTTGTTAATTGACTTAGAATGATCAGTATGCATTTCGAATCACTGTCATAAACTTGTAACTTTATTTCAAACACTTTTGCCCTCAGGCACACCTCTAAATTTGTTGAACTCCAAATCACTGTGTTAAATGATTAACTTGTAAATTATGCCTGACCATGTCAGTACTATCTTTTGCTCTCCTAACATAGTCAACTGATACTGCCAAATGTTTTCTACCTGCTTGAAGCAATAGGTTAATTTCCACACAATAAAACGGAAATACTACACACAAAGAGCTTTGTTACAAGCTTTTAAGTGACCCTGATCAATGATCAATGTCTAACAGGGTATATGGCAAGCTGTTAAAAAATCTTAAATTCATCAATAAATTGCTCCAAGCAACTTTTAAGCAGGGAATGATATAGATCAGACTTTTCAAATCTTTACTAATTCATTCCAATTAAACATTCAAGCAAGCGTGTCTGATACACTAAAGAATACCACAGCTTAAGTTCTTTCAATAGAAATAATATTTCCTGATCACTCAATTCAACACTGCCGTTCATACAGTTACAGTATCAAAAATGTTCTAAAACAAACAAAAAGTTTACTGTACTTGAAATATAAACAGGATCACACTCCTTTAACCCCAGTTTACAGTTAACATTACTCAATACAGTATCATGATACCCTCAGTGACTGGAGTATTATTACTAGATACTTCATCCGAAGGAGTGACTCTTTAATGTTTTCGACCTTGCATCATAACAGTTCATTCATATCTCCACGTGTTTTGGACAGATACAAACACTTTCTCTCTCTCTCCGCCCACAAAAATCTACCTTGATTTAACACGTGTTGTGAATACTACACTGCACTCTGTATGTACACCACATTCCGTCTAGATCCTAGACATTGTTATAATTCCTCGTTACATTAATCATTAATCAAGATTATTTGCCATTGTCTGCAATTATCCAGTGGTGTAACACCATTTTCAGATAAACAATCCAGGTTAAAACATGTAGTACAGTGAATAATTTAGTTCATCATCTTATCTTATCATTTTTCCCAAGTTTTTACTACTACAAATGTTATGTTAACTAGACCATTCACAAATACAAATAAAGGAGTTGTTGTGTGTGTACATTAACAATCTACTCCTGACACATGTAAAATAGTCCTATATATGAACTGTGTTTAACATTGTCACCGTTACAATATTTTTTACCTTTAGTCTTACTCCAGTGTTGTGAAATTATCGTTAGCAACCAACATTAAAGCGGACAAACAATTTGTGGCGAGCTACCTTTACAATATTTCAATAGCGTCTATGTATGGATTGACGACTCGTGAAAGAGTTTGTGTGAAGTTACCCATGCAGATCGGGGAATAAACGCGACTTGATCAGGCTTGAATCCATTTTTGAAATGAATACATTGATATTTCCATTGAAAATATCTCGTTCAAAAATCTCACAAATGATATCATTATGTTTTATACTGCATAAGATCAGCTGTCTTAATAGCCTTATACTTAAATGTAAACAGTTTAATATGTTTCTTTGTAAACCAAATGCTTGATATTTTATAAAGTCAAATATTGATCCTTTGTTATGAAGAAAAAGAGTACCACTAATCCTTCTTACTAACAAAAAGACGGCTATACAATTTGTGATTGAAATAGCGTATCTTTCAGTTTAATCAAAAACCTTAAGAACCTCTATCTGCCTGTTCTTTTTGAAAACACAATCATTTTTTCTCTCATAAAATAAACCTCATTTCTTATTGCATGCTTATAAAATGATGATGTACATGCAAATCAAGAAATTTTCCTCTTTGTCTAATGATTTCTGAACACAAAGAAGTGTCAACTGTATCTGCTTCTGGAAATTGTCGTCTATATATTGCCGAAATTCGCTACCACCGAAAACAGAAACATATCATGTGAGTATTAATCAATAACTAGCCTGATATTCTATATACCCTGCCAAACAATTTGTTCTAAATATTCCCCCACTGTCATTAAAAGCCAATATTATTTTCAACAACGGGAACAACCAGTTTCCTCCAATATACACAACTTCAAGCAGCCTTTAAATTAACACTATTGACGAAAGAAATAAAATATCAAATCCTTTATCCTTACTCGAACGAACGAAAAATCAAACCATGTCAAACAAACAAGAATTATTCGAAAGTACCTCACATGTACTCTCCCATTATCTGCATTATTGCAACACACTCTGGCACGAAAACACGAAAACAGTATGATAATATTGTGATCTTTCTTTCCAATCACTAATCATGCAGCCTTGGTCACATGACCTGATCGGGAAAACATCAGTGGCTAGTGGAGGAGATATTCCTGGTTCCGATATTCACATAAATTATCCTCAATTGCTGATCTACAGGTCTGTAAGTGTCATCCTGTATTAATCAATCTTTCTCATACAATTTCTTTGTAAGAGACTTGGACTTTATAATTTTGTGTTTGTGATACAATACTCCTACATGGTGTATCTCTCTATTAACGTACAATCATCATTTTGTTTGACCTGCCCTCACTTCAACTTGTCACTCTTAAAATTTATATATTAGCCCCCAACTGGCCAGTTATTACACTAAATATTATAAATTAGTCTTCCTTGCTGTAGACTTTTTGACCAACAAAAAATACGCTTGTATATCAAATGGACATATTAAATATGTCATAAAGTGAATCAAATATACAAGAAATGTGCTAATTTAGACTTGAGTAATTGTAGGCCAAGTGTGTTTTAGCATACATTAAGCAACACAACCTTACATTAGACTTATTTTCTTCATATGCTAATTAATCAACAGCTTTACCTGTGGTGAAAAGTGCTTAACAGAAATTATTTTTTCACTATCATGTATAATTAACAAAGTTTTCTTTGGTCTATACATGTTATTATATTTTCAGTTTTAGAATAACTTTTACATTTTAATTGGATAAATATAAAAAAAAAAAAAAATAAAAAAAATAAATAAAACTTAACCTTTAATTTTGCTGTACTACAAAATTAATGGAGCTATGAACAATTTGTAATTCTGGTAAGAATATTATTTTAGGTGTTTATAATTTAACTGATGTGACATGCATGGAAAAGAAATTCATTTACACAGATTTAAAGCAGCAAGCCTCCAGATTCATGTTAAATATCAAGAAATTTTGAAAATTTATTAATGAATAAAATATTATCAAGTGAACAAAGAAAAGTAATTTACACCTTCAATTGAAGTAAATTAATAAATAAAGGCCAAAATATGCAAAAAATAGCGTAACAATTTGTAACACAGAAGAAATATGGTGATAAATACTGCAAAAATCATTCATTCATTGCATTTAACATGTTAATCATTACTTGAAATGTGAATATTTTTACTTTTTTTTTAATCTTAAATAATTTTTCTCAAAGTTTTTCTTTTATTTTTGCTCATCTGGTTGCATGCAGCTTTATGAATGTGCGTTTTGGATGTAAATTCCTTTAATTTGGAACATTAAGGGATTTTTGTAACTAAATACTAACAATACTGATATCAATCACTTTCTATCCAGGTTAATTTTATTGAGAATGCAAAAGAAATCAAAAATTTTCACTAATCCATTTGTTTACATACCATACAATTAAATGGGAAAGTATTTTATTATTATTATTTCTTTTTTTTTTTTTTTGGAAAAGTGAAAATTTCAAGGTAACATGACATCTCTGTTCTAAGGATAAAGTTGGACCTTAGATACTAGTTCACCTTCTCCAATTTGGAATCATGTCCTTGAACCCAAAGATAAGGCTGTATTTGAGGTCATTTGCTTTTCTCATTACAAATGTGAGTAAAGTACCGGTAATACAGTACATATAGCCAGCTGGCCTCTGGTTGCCTTATCTAGTGGAACCAATTAGAGGATAACATGTTATGCTAACTTACCATGAAAAAATCTAGACTCTCAAAGCTGTCCACTCCTAGATTATAGTCAAACAAACCGAGATAAGTATGAAAAAATCATTAACAGTTTAATATATTACCCTTACCAACCTAAAATTCTGAAATGGACTTGTCCATTCCTTTAATCTGGACATTCATCATTTAAGGGGAAATTTCCAAATATGTACTAATTGAATGGCTACAGACAAAGGGATCTTAGTCTGCAATGGTATGGGTAAATTCAGTTGCCACCAAAAGTCAACTTATTCATATTCACAATTCATAAAATTTAAATTATTATTATATCTTGGTATGTAAAATAATGGCATCTATAGCTAGTATTTTTTTTCACCATTTATTCGACAGAAATGGTTGGTTCTGCTTTAAAAAAAAAATTTAACGAATCAAAGCAAAAGAACACATGATTCTTTGAAGAAATGGGAAGCAGGTGGGGATCAACATTTTACATTGTTAACTAATTAGCAAAAAAAAAACAACAACCAACATCTCTCACATACACAAATTGCCATTAACTCACATTTGATGAAAAAAGATAAATATTAATTAGAAATTTTCCATGCTTTAAATGAACAAGGATGTGCAATATGTCCTGAAAAGATCTAGATAATAATATATCATATATGCTAATCATGACTAGAATTAACACCTGTTAACAAGTATTCTTTAATGATCTCAAAAGTTATATCTTCTTTCATACACCTGAGTATTATAATGAGAATTCCATCCTTTATCCTATCTAAAGCCCATCATTTAGCCTTCTGTAATTTGAATAAATCCATATAAGTTTTCCTTGTATCAAAATGTCATACTGAGTGCAATATCATGACATCTGAGCATGAATTCATCGTTTTTCTCAATTTTTAGTACTGCCAAACTGAAAATGTGTACCAATGTTGTCAAACGAAGACACATGTTTAACATTATCAAGATAGCTTGTATTACTGTGATAACAGTCACATATACAATCAGACATCATAATGTATATTCTATGTACAAATCAAAATCTGCAACTTCAATTAAGATCATATAACTTAATTTGTAAGACATTTCAATCTTAATAGAAGTTAATTGGATTGCAAAAATTTTGTAATTAGAACAAATTATGTTATATTCATTTAGATATATTGAGCCATGCAGGCTAGCATGAACGTCCACTAAGTTGAGGTGTGACTGTAGTCAGTCAGCTCATTCTAAGAACTTAAATACTTAAATCCCTAATTAAATTCCTTAATACAAAAGATTTGCTCCATTTCACATATGGAACAGTCCATTCAAAATTTAAGCGATTTAAATAATTATCAAAACACTGAAAATTAAGCTACGAACAGTATGACTGGTCTAGTATGAATGTACATATGGCATCGGCTTATTACCCAGTACTCTCTGTTCCAACAGATTAACATACAATGAAAATTCTGTATCCAGTGCACAACCATTTGGTCTGCTATTTTATAAATATTCATAAATTTAAAAAGTAATAAAATATTTTCTAATAATGAACAGTTTTGACATATTTTAATTACACTGATGATTTGTTAGCGCAATTATGATAAGTTCATGTAATCATTTTAAGAAAAGATATAAACCTGTCAGTAAAGTGCAAACCTATATTGTGCTATAAACTATTCATTAATATCATGATGAATTAGACAAGTGCAAGCGTAAATTAGACAACATTCCCATGACTGTAAGTCTTTACCTTAATTTGTGTAATTATTTGTCTTGCTTAGATGAGCATCCAAAAGTTTTCAAGTGAAGTCTGGTCAAATTGCATGCTGCTTTTGCCTGGTTGTATGCATTGGCCTGACCTAGTTCTATATGTTGGCCTGGCAGTGATGTTTCTCACTTTCTTGGGAAGAGGCCTTAGCCTCTTGATTTTGGAGAAATTATCGCTAAATTGGTGATTTGGAAAGTAAAAAAGCTTGTTTTAGTTCAGATTTTTGGGAAAACTGCATGATTCTAAAGAAAATTTCAATTGGGAAGAGGGCTTTTTTTCAGAGTCTGTTATATAAGTAGGAAAATCACTGCCTGGTTCTTAATTTTCACTTTGTTCTATATGTTGGCCTGGTTCTTCACATTGGCTTGGCCTCGTTCTACATGTTGGCTTGTATCTATACATTGGCCTGTTTCTATACTGGATGACATGTACATGTACTAGCCCGTCACTATCACAACATGCACGCAATGAAATTTATGGCACAAATTCAACACATAGATAGGTGATACTGGTTACAATAGAAATTTCATCAAACATTAG